GGATGAAGGGGGGTGGGGGTGGGGTGAGGTGGTGTGGTGTGAGAGGAGAAAGGAATATTTACAAGGTAACCATGTACTTTAATTTGCATGATTGCAGTAGGTGCTTGTGCTCCACACAATATATTCAAGTATCTAGGAAGCTTTCAAGGCTTCTACACAAGGTAAACATACCTTGAGACTGCCTAAAGATATTCTATCCTCAGAGCATGCAGTACATTCATCCTTGAAATTCCATTTATCAGGCAGGTAGTTATCTAGATAATTTAGAAACAACTGAAATACAAAAAAATTCATGACTCAGTCTGATTCTATACATACTAACTATACAAGTGTGCAGTGCATATCAGTAAAACCTGTCTTATAACTGGTAACTGACCTTTCACCATATGTTATAAGTTAAAGAGGGACATAAGAGTAGTGATATTGGTCTTTTAATATCAGCCAAATTGAATGTCAGTACCAAAAGCCAAATGAAAGCAAGTGTTTTTAGTCATTTTTGTCTGTGCTAGTTGATCTTTATTGGCAAAATAAGAATGAGTATTTTATCCTCAACTGCTGATCAGACAAAAGTTTGGCAAGTACCTTACTGGGACCATTGCCATGGGCAACCAGTGGTTCTGTCCCATATTCCTTGTTCACCAACCATGCCTTGTCATCACTGAACTTGATTTCTACTTCCTCTGACAAGTAAAGACAAATGAACATTATTTTTAATGCTGATTTGACAAACCAAGAAGTCCTGAGTTCTACCAGAGTCCAGGTGCCCCAGATGGGCAACTAGCATCCATGTACATGTACAGTTCTAACTCCATTTTTGTAAAAGCTTTTAATTAGGGGGCTGGGCATCCCAGAGCTTGGAGAAATGAGTCTTTCCCCTTTGACCCCCAAGATCTGATTGTTAATTCTCCCCTCTAGCTGCTATATGTTTCCTTACTGATGAGTTTGAGTATTCTCATTACCTATTTGGTGGATAATGTTTGAATATTATAGGGAGAAGTAACATGTTAATCACCTCTGGGAGTTAAAGGGTTAAAGCCCCTGCTAATACTTCTTGAGAACAAAACTTGGTGTCTTTCGAATATCAAAGATCCACTTTTACTATTTCCAGATGAAATATTTATGTACTGTTCCAGAGATTTATGATCATAGTATTTGAGTTCTTGACCAAAAAAGGAAAAAAAACTTTGTGTGAAACATTCATTCAAAGAACAAAAGTGAAATTAAATAAATTAAAGCACCATAGATTAACAAGAATAATAAATAGTAAATAATTGTGCACCTTCTGCTCCATTCAAATTCATGAAGATCTCTGCTTTATTATCTAGCCTCAGTTTCAACTGATCCTGCAAAAAAAGATAACACTCACCCTTAGAGGAGCAGAGTCAGTAATTACTGTATTTCCTTTAATACTTAGTGTTAGTACTCACCCTCTAAAAAGTGCCCTCCCCTTGGGCCACAATATCAAACAAGTGCCCCTCCTGAATAATCACCTCCCCCTTCTCCCTCAGTTTAATAACAAGGATAAAATGAAAACCTGTTTCCATTACCACTTTTATTTTTATCTTTTTCAGCTTCAATTACAGCAGAATCAGTGCAGGTTAGTACACGTAGTTTTTAAATAAGCACCCCCTCCCCCACAATTAAGCACCCTCCTTCTAATAGGTGTTCCCCTCCTATTAAACAAAATTTTACATCAGCAATATAGCATCCATCTTGGGGAATTTCAATTTGCCTTGATTAGTACACCATGCAGCATTGTCTGTTACATTTTAGCCAGTGGACGGTAAGAGAGTTCAGGTAACAATACATGAAAAGAAAATCATCTCTATGTAACATATGAATTAGAGTATCCCATATTAAAAGGTTGGTGTATGAGTAACCTCCTCCCTCATAATACCAGATTTGAACTCTGTAAAGATTATAATAAATATTCAAGCGGCCATCCTTCTTGGTATAGAAAATGAAATAAATCCACTCACTCTTTTCTGCTTGTCCAGAAATATCTTGGTATAATACAGTTGATCATCTTCCACATCCTCAATGACATGATCAGTTACAACCTGGTGGAATACTGGTGCATAGCCAATAAAACCTAAAATACAAAAATATATGCTACATGTAAATTGTTGTAGGAACCTAAAGACCACACAATTGATGATTAATTACACAACTGGTTGGAATAATTATATGGTCTGTAAACAAAGTATGTGAGTAATTAAACAAAGCTAGATAAGTACAATAATATATGGGAGATGGATTTACGGTACATGTACATGCAGACAGAATTGCATAAAAAGTTTTTGATTGAATTCTTATTAAAAGGAGGACAGTTGCCCCTCCAAGGGAAAGGAATTCACTAGATCTGGTAAAATTGAAGTAGAACTGACTTCAAAACAGTATTATAATACCTCCTGAACAAAGATATTTCTTTCCATGAATAACTTCAGGGTATTGGTCCTACAAAAAAAAAAAAAAGCCACACTCACCATTAAAGAGCAACTCCATATAGTTATATTTCTCTTAATGTAAAAAAAAATACATATACTGTATATATATCTAATACATGTGATGTTTACAGATGAATTCAAGGTCAAAGTGAGAGAGAGTAATGAAAAGGGAAAAAAAACGGACACGGACAGAAAAGATTACAGCAACAGTGAGGGACAAAAGGACAGAAGAAGAGGAGAAGTAAAGTACAACTGAGAAAGAAAGATGAGGAAAATCAGGATTAAAAAAAGAATGAAAAAATGAGAAAAAGATGGATGAGGCACTTCTGAAAAAGGGCAACACAGTTAAGAGCCCAGCATTTCATTTCATATGTTCATTTTGTCTTTTTGGATTTTAAGCTTGAATCACCAAAGTGGAGAAGGGTGGCACTATGACATTTTCAATATACTTGATGAAAAGAAAAGAGGATGAAAGGACAAGCAAAGAAATAAAATGAGAGATACCACTATGTGTAGTGTGCATGCATTGTATGTGCATTGCTAAGATTACAAAAAATAGAAATTACTTTGAGCCATCTGTCTGGCCAGCAGAATCCTTCGGCAGAAAAGACCATGTTAGCTTTAAAGTCAAGAAACTTCTTCAAGAATTCTTCAGGTTTGCCAAGTAAAATGACATCATAACTATGAAAATAATAATAAAAAAATAATGTTAAAACAATAGTCAAATTGAATTTCAATGTGAAAAGCAACATAGTAAAACTATAGTAAACAAACAAACTACATTGAAGGATTTCTTAAGTGCTGCATAAAGTATTTTTGGTTTGCTGATATTTACAAATAAAAAACATTTTCGGCAATGACTCACCTATCCACAAACATAAGAACTAAATTACTGTCATTCTTGTAAAGTTCTGTCTCCTTCTTTAGAATGTTTATTTTATGCCCTCCTCCTGGATAATTCTTCACATCTCCACCTCGCCATTCTTCTCCCATCCCAAGGACCTATCAACAAACGCATACACTATGTTTTGGTATCAAATATAAAATTTGCCATCCAAATGATAATTAATACATGCTGGTATCACAGCTGAAATACATGCAGTGTTAGAGATTTCAATATTCTGAAGGATTTCTGTCATTTTTTATTCTCCCTTTCTTTTTTGTGTCTCATTTTACATTTTGTTTTCATTTTTCACTATTTCTTAGCCCTTTAAACACTAGGAGTGACTAGCATCTAATTTCTCCTTACAATATCACCACAGAACCACACATTAATGTCATGAGAATAAAGGAAATGATCACCAACATTGGAAGTATTAATTCGTATACAAATTCTCCTTATCAGCACCTTTGGAAATGATTAAAGAACAGTATGGAGAAAATGCATACTGATGTCAGGCAGGTAAATTGAGATAAAGATGTGCAAAGATTACTATTCATGCTCTATTGTTGCCTCTTTCTCCTTAGTTGTGAGTGTTAAGTCTTGAGAACTCATGTGAGCCCTGAAAAATGGTTGCCAGCCACTGCTACCTGAATTGTTTTTTTCAGGCAGCCATTTTCTGAGTTTGGTCTCCAAATGATGACTTTGGAAAATCTTGATCATGGAGCACTTCACTGTTCTAACCCTGCCTAAAAACCTAAATAGTTTATTCATAATTCAGAGCACTAATCACTAATTGCCTCCTTAACATATCAAAGATATCCCTATAAAACCGCCAAATAACAGCAGAAAGAATAGAAAAAAATTTAGAAGAAATTAGGGAGATACCTTGATATTACTGACTTGACATTAAATGTTTTGAGCAAGGCACCAATTCAAATAACATTCTGCTCCAGTAGTATTTACATATAAGTTAATTGACCTTCATTTGGGAAAAATGACAGTGTCCCACTCAAATTTATTCGTTTAGCGATAACTTGAGACAGATCAGATAATTCTCGGCAAAACCCAAACAACATCAAATCAAAAATTTGCCAGGAACGTGCGAATTCTCACGTAAACTTCACACAACAGACTATTCATTCAAACAACGCTGAATTTTTCAAAAGATCAAGGGTTCTTTCATAACATGAAATTTGATCGGTTTTTCCCTGTCGACGTGGACGTCTACAAAATATAAACGCGAAATCGGCCGTCAACTTTAGGATCTTAAGTGCGACAGGTTTTTGTTAGATTTTGTGGAAAAAAAATTAAAAACTGTTCTGACATGGAGACATTTTTTATGTCTTACTTCCGCAAGTGACCGGCCAAGATTTGAAAGAATCGAATATAATAAAAACATTAGGCTATTAGTATGAGTGTGATTCATGGAAGTGACAACTTTCGGAAAAATTCCGAGCAAGGTTCGCTAACGATTTTTTACTCACAAAATCAAAGGGATTTGAGGCAGTTATATCACCCTCTATTTAGAGAATCAAATGAATATTTACACCTACGTTGCTGAAGCATAACAACAACACGTGTGAAATTTGCACGTTGAAGATTTATGCACTGTCACGAACTTGTCCTAAAATACAGCGATCAAAGAAGATCAAAGAAGTAAAACACAGTTCATAAGGCTCTGTACTAAATGCCATTTGAAAAATGGAAGTAACAAATTCCAAAAAGCCAAGGATTGATGTTGTCAAAACAGTAACAAAGCTGTGAGCTCCTAACGAACATTTTCAAAGCAGCACAGAGAAAAAGAGGGAATTTGTATGACTTGGTTATGATGTCGTTAACCCAGCAGACCACAAAATGGAAAGACGCATGAATAATTTAAGAATACCTTCACATCGATGTTGTTAACTTTAGCAGATCTCATGAATCTTTTATAGCCATCTGTTTCGTCCGTTGCTACAGTTATAGCGAGAAGTCTCAGCTCATCTGTTCCTGTCAAGAACCAGAAACAAATTTCTATGTCTGATCTTTCCATCAAAAGGAGTATTGCGTGAAACTGCAATCCCCATGATAGAAAAATCTTACCTTGTTCTACACTGCGAACATCTGCTAAAAGCACAGTTGAGACGAAAAAGAGAAGACAGTTCACACAGCGAAGAGTCCTCATCTCGCCTTTTGCTTCATGCGCTCACAAACTGTGCTGAACAGGAGCGTTCTACTGTTGTTGTATATTCTTATCACGTGACTAAGCGATAAATTCCTCAACAGGGTGGGGTAAAGCTCTTCCGCTCAAAGGGTGCGAAAGATGTCGACTTAAATTTTTCGCAAACTTTAATCAAGAAGTTTGAAAATAGGCCATTTCGATAACTCCTCTTAACATATTGGCGCAGTGGTTTTGACCAGGGATATCTTCTAATTCTGCAAACACTACAATAGACCAAGAGCATGAGTAATCTCCAGATTGTTTGAAGCTGGCTTAAGATAACCCAGGGTTAATGCGAAACCTGATTTTGGATCTGAAAGCTTTAAAAGAATATTCAGTACAATTCCCTTTGTCTACAATTCTATAATTGAATGCCTTTTAGAAAAAAGAATGAAGAAAATTGTCCCAAAGAGGCTTTTGAACAAAGGAATAATGAAACGCACATTAAAATTTAACCCTTGGTTAGCCCTGATCAGCCTTTGAACAACTGAGCCCAGGAGGCTTAGAAAAATGCACTGAGAACAATGATGTGAGTCACTGCTATGATAATTGCCAAACTATTTTTCTCATTTCTTCTCTAGACACTTTTGTTTGGGGGAGGGGCAGTGAGAGGAGGCTCCTTAGCACATCTGCAAAAAAGTGTGGTGAAACTGAATAATATGACAACTCTAACAGAATTTTAAGTCTAAGAAAATGAGAAACAAAAAAGTTGGTAAATATTTCTTAAAAAAGAACATAAAACTGTGTTTCTCAAAATAAATAAAATATTCATCAGTTCCAATTTTGGTCCTTTTCATTTATTGTTGGCCACTTTGGAATAATGTGAATACATGGCAAATTTGCATAACAGTTGATTAATGCTATGTAAATACAGGCCTATGACAGTTAAACAAGATTGTCCTGATCATAATGTTAAATACTGCTATTGGTTCCACCAAACTAATGGAATCAAGTCTTTGAAAGAAGATGTGGCACTCTTGTACCTAATTTATTTATTTTCATTAAGTTGAACATAAGGTTAAAAGAGAAAAAAGCATTTTAGTACCAGTAGTCATGTTAAAAGTCAGTATTGCAAGATTTCATGTTACAGAGTAGTGCACTGGAGGTGAAAGGGATCCTGAGGGTTTATCAATAGTTGCTGCAGTTGTACTGTACTTTATGGTTAAGATTAAACTCTCATTCAGGACTATTTTTCTCCAATGAAGCATCAAGTGCGCAAGTGATTAGAATGCATCTTGCAGAAGAACAAGTCCTGCAGCATGATGTTATGAAGCTCTATGCGTTTATGCCTCCAGTGACTCAAGGCGTTATACATTCTCAGAATTGATGTTGAAACATTAAAATGTTCCATCAGAAGAACAGTTCCAGAAGCACAAGGTGATGAAGTACTATGCTTTGTCTTTCACCTTTTCCATTCAATTTGAAGTGTCATCACCATTAGTTTCACTGAAACCTGTCCATTTTTTAAAGGATCTGATAATTTTTGTTTCAAAAACCCAAGCTGAAAAAAAAGACCATCAACATCATGGACCTTCTTCAACGTCAATGAATCTTTGCAAGAATTGAAATCTTGACAGACCACATCTGGATCACTTCTTTAGAAGCACACAGCTCTCTTCCAGTAGTGAGTTGGTGATAGTAAAGCCATATGAACCATTGAAGGTTACCAGAACTGTCCTTTGCTATGTCATGTGTAGTTTTCTGTGATCAACTTTCTCTAGGTGAACTAGACTAATTAATTGTGTTATGGCAAATAAAAAGCTTAGCTGTGTTAAGACTATGGAGTTAGGCTATCAGTAATTATATTCCCCTCAAAGTAGAACCAAGAAATTCAACAAGGCAAATTTATAACTAAATCAATCAAATCTGAACACAAACTTCTTTGGGCCTTCACCAGCTTGGATTTAAAATCTAGAGATTTTCATTTTATTTTGAGCCCTGCCCTTCTTCC